CACCCAGTCACTCAGCATGGGAGCGCCGCGCGCGAGATATGTCGGTATCCAGAACCCAGATCTGGCAGACTCCCCTTGCGAGGCAAGACAGTATCGACGGAGGCATTGTCTACAACACCGAATCACACACAGCCTCCTCTTGAGAAGCCTCCGCGGCATGGAGGCATCTGTCGGCTTTGTCGCACAGGAAAGTCAGCGGGGAGCGCATATATCCACCAATCGCGAGCCGAGAGAATCAGTTCAGCCTCGGAACATCTGGAAGTATGCATGAGATTACTTCATCTCGAGCAAAGCATGCACTGCGCGTGCATCTCAAAATGACGATGCAGCAATAACCCGTCTTGCAGAGCAGGCCTCGAGGAGCAAGAACCCGAGTTCGCCCTGGAAGGTGAGGGGATGGCACAGGACAGTCGTCTACCCAAGAGCCAACCGCTGAAGAGGCCGAGAGAACACCAAACTCGCAAGGACTTCCCAACTTGTTACGCCGGCATCAATAGTTTCCCCTTTTTTCTCTCCCACTGTCTTTACCCTAGAATGATTGGGTGGTCGGGAACTTTCCAAAGTTGGCACAAGGCGAATCAGCACGTCTTGATTTCAGGTGTCTCTGCAGGCAGATGCAATCTCTGATGTCTTATTCGACCTGGAGAACGAGCTGCCGAGAGGAGGGGGGGAGCCCTGTTCCAAAGATTCGGGACCCGTGCAACCTCGCGGCAGCATCCGCCGTGGCCGGCACACATTGTATGCCATATGGTCTTTACCCTGTTGCGGAGGCCATGCTTTCCGGCGGGCGTTGGCGGTTCTTTTTAACTTCCCCGCTTCAACGGCACAATCCTAAGAAGTTCAATGGTCAGCAGAATAATCTCTGTCAAGGCAGTCGTGGAAGATGAGTTTGTTTGGCCTCTTGGCGCATATGCTTCCTTTTAACCCCCCTTGAACTAGACGTTGCTTATCCGTACCTTCTCGTGGGAGGTTTGCGGATCGGCTCTTCTAGCGTAGGCGTCAGCCATACGGCAGCAAGGATCAGTCTCACTCTCGAGAATCCTAAGATCCTCTCTTACACCCCCCACCCCACCCCTCATCAACGTCAGGCTCTCGTCGACAGGGATGTAAACAGCGAAACAGGCACTCGTGTCTTTCCGGACATCCAGATCTAGTGGCTTGTTTTCTGTGTTACAACGAGACTTGATTTATCGTTGTCTTGTGATCAAAGAAGTGCAGATGCCGGGCCGGGGTCATCTTGTCGAACATTGTTGGGGGTTGCAGTTGGTGGCGTTTTGACTTGCGTTGGAATTGCTTGCCTGCCTTGTCTTCGACACCGTTGGTCCGGACATGGCTTGAAACATCCCTGACGAAGGATTGTGATGGCTTGAGGGGGTAAGCATCGAAGTTGCATATTCGGTCTAGGACGAAGTCCATTCTGGGTGACATGTTTGGCGGGTCAAAGGTCCGGTAGAAAATGCAGGCAAAGGTGAAAGGAGGAATATTGACAATAGCTTGCTTTTTTCCTCCGCTGTGGGTGTTGCTACTCCTTCCTTAAAGATGGTCATACGCTCCTTCTCAAGGAGCGTCGTCCGATTTTTTAGGAATTCTCAATGTTTACAAAGAGGCTCACTTCGAATTCCAATCTCCAGACTTCGAGCTTTCACCTTTCCGCCCTTCCACCCACTTCGCCTTTCGACCCACCGCCTCTATCCGACCCATCCATTATTCTTTAAGAAGTCTGGCGCCAACTCCTAATTATCTTAATCCCGGTTCATCATTGATCACTTCATTAATATCTCTCTCTCCGACCTGAACGTTGCGCCACCTTCGTTCTTTCCCCTTGCCCCTTAGACCATGGCTTTGAAGCTTTGCATTGGCATATCGCTTCTACTTGCAATTATTGGCATCAGGTTCTTGTATCTGGATCTTTTGGGTGCATTCAAGATCTTCTTGGCTTCATTCACCTTGCAGTGTGCTGTTCTCCTAGTATATAATGCTTTCCTCTATCCTTTCTTCCTCTCACCACTACGACACCTTCCAGGACCTAAGGTAAGAGCGTTCAATTTTGCTCACAGATACAACGGAAGGATTGACGCAACCATCCATGTTTTTGAAATATTGCAGGAGTGCTAATTCACGATACTTATAGGGCGGCCATTTCTTGATCGGTCAAATGCTCAACCAGATCAGAACCCCGGGGCCAGCCGATATTTTCGTCTCATGGACAAAGCAATGGCCCGAAGCGCCTTTTGTGCGCTACCTCTCTATGCTCAACGCTGAGACGCTCATGGTGAACAACCTGGCGGCTTTCAAGGAAGTTCAACAGACCAAGGCATTCTCGTTTCGAAAGTCACAGTTGGCAGCTCGCATGTTTTCACCCATAACCGGACACGGGCTTATGTTCTCGGAGGGTGAGGAGAGAAAGAAGCAGCGGACCCAGTTGAATCGTGAGTTCCTTCATTTCCAGCTGTCTCCTCCTTTGTTTATTTTACTGACGTTACTACATAGGGGCGTTCTCGAACCAAAATACCCGAACAATGCTGCCAGTCTTCCAGCTCAAGGCCAACCAGATGTGTGAAGTAATTTTTCGAGACATGGGCGGGGAGGACGTAAAGCTTGTTGATGGTATGCTACATCATTTCCCTTTCCTGGCCATGAACTGTTGCTGACTTCTGTCTCCAGTCGAACCCTATATCCGAAAGGCGACTCTCGACGTCTTCGTCATTGGTTCAATCGGCTGTGATCTTGACGGCATCTCTATCCCTGAAGCACACTTCTACGATGTGTACGAGCGCATTATCCGCCAACCTTCTTCTGGCCACGTTTTGACCTTCATCGATGGCCATATCCCTGTCCGCTCATGGCTTCCTCTCCCTAGCAATAAGAGATGGCTGAAGGATGTTGCCCTTATTCGGACAATGCTTCTCACCTGCGTGGAGAACCGTCGTGCGGAGATGATTGCCGAGAAGAAGCTGGGCCTCAACGAGAAGATGACTGAGCATCGAGATATCTTGACCTTCATCTTGGAGGACTGCCAATTCGACAATACCCAAACCAACTGGACTGACTTGGAGCTCTTGGAATACGTGCGTAAGCCTATGATCCCGATGCTTTGATGTGTGCTAACAATTCATCAACAGATGCTGAACTTCATTGCCGGAGGTATGGCAAAACAGAATGTGAACAACTGAAGACATACGCTGACCCTACCTCAAAGGCCATGAAACCACTGGATCTATCACCATGTGGATTGCTCACATCCTTGCTACAGAGCCCAAGGTTCAGGAACGCCTCAAGCAAGAAGTCCTCGGTCTCTGCGCCGGCAAGCCTCGAGAATGGAACCCGACCTATGAGGAAACCGAGCATTTGGTCTACGTCAACAACTTCCTCAAGGAGATGCTCCGCTTCTACTCCCCGGGTAAGACTTATGAAACCCCTCAGTATAAGTTTGATTTGCTGACAAAAATCCACGAATAGGAATCTTTCTCCCTCGCGAAGCAGCAGAAGACGTCACCGTCTGCGGAATCATCGTCCCCAAGGGCACACAAGTGACGCTCTGCCCGGCTGTGGCACACTTCAACCCTCTTGTATGGGGTGAGACCGCTGACATCTTTGACCCCGACCGCTGGTCCGACGGCCGCGCATCCAAGGACTCGTACGCCATGGAGTCGTTCCTCCAGGGCCCTGCGGGCTGCATCGCTAAGAACATGGCTTTGCTGAACGTCAAGAGCGTAATTTTCGCTCTCGTGCGGAACTTCAAGTTCTCGCCACGTCCCGGATACACTGGCGTGGTAGAGCTTGCAAATCCCAACTTTACCCTGAGGCCCAAGGGTAGTATGGGTGTCACGATGGAGAGAGAGACGAGATAGACGGCGCTTATAGAATGCTGCGCAAGAGTCAAGAGGGTGCTGAAGCATGTGTACGCTGGCGCCACGGACGATGGGGTCCTCACAACAGAACCATTCTACTATACATAATTTGGACAAAGGGCGAGGTAGACTAGAATTCGTTCGTAATCACACTTAATAGTCATGAACCCAGCGCTTTCTTCTACTCACTTGATAATGCTTCGGCTTGGGCTCGATGCTAAGAAAGTACTAAGAGAAGACCCAGGAATAATCGTTAAACAATGTCTTCGGTAATGACGTCTGTTGACTGGAGTCTGAGGATCTAGCCTCTCCCCCTCTTGGCCGTCGTCTTTGCCTCAAAACTTCATGTACTTTCTCTTTTGCCCCAGGTTCTCAGACTGGCATCTCTGCTGATTCCCAGAGGCGTCGTTGACACATTCTATCTCACTAACTCATTCCCACTTAGGATTCAGATACTCAACTGCCATACTCTTTCTCTTCCCCTTGGGTAAGGAGGGGCTAGAAGATACCGATCTGGTTGCTCCTGCCTTGATAAATGAGTTCGAAACCCCAATTTTATCTGGAAGGAAAGTCAAACAATATTGTTCTGAGACGCGCCTTCCTGTACTCGCCTACGACCTGCCCTCACCCAGAAACCCATCTCACTGCCTGCCTGGACTACTCGTCTTTCTCCTCCACCACACCTTTTTACCACATTGCGTACCTCCTCCCCTTTGTGATACCCGACCCAAACACCATAATATTCTTCATAGCTACCTACTTACCATTACTGGCATCGTGTGAGAAGGGCATTTTCGGCTTTTATCTTTGGTGGCTACTCTGACGTCGTCGTCATCAACCTTACCTCGTTCATCAATACTAATATCGACACAGAAGACAAGGCCCCAGGCCTGATCAGCAATTCACATTATCGTCATCACAGTAAGGCCCCATTCAATTTTTTCCATTTCCTGCTGCCCGAAATAATCTGACACATCCAGTCCATCTCATTATTCGCCCAAAACGCGTGTTGCAATGGCGGCTTCATCCAAGTTGATGCCTGAGTCCGACTCCGACATAGAGCGCAATACCCTCAAGATGGCAGCTGCTTGGGAGCCCCTCAACCTGCTGCAAGACACGCTTCATGAGAATGGCACTGCCTTCCCGACTATGCTCACACTCAAGCCTGATGACATCCCCATCTACAAGATCGACATGGGCAAGCCTGCTGAAAAGCGCTACATTAAGCTCGCCAAAGATCTTGCTCCCAAGATAAGAGAAGTGAGCCCCCTCTTTGATGAGGTGATTGAGGCGATCTTCCCACAGGGCCTGTCTGGCTTTGCCAAGTTTACTTCCCGGTTTACCCTCCGCAAGGTGTTTGATCCTGAGCAGACCAAGGAGATCAAGTCCATCGCTGAGGTCGCTGGCGTCCCCGCTCACCAGCTCATGGCACTCAATACCTTTCTTGACCTGATGCTTGGTTGCACATCTGGAGCTGCCTTAGTCCGGGGTGACTCCGAGCGCAAGGCTGTTGATGGCGATCCTGACCGTCTGATGCACTTTCGGACTCTTGAGGTATGGTTCCCTCCCCTTTCCCACGAAGGATATCTGGCGCTGACAGTCCATCACAGTGGGGCATGGATATCCTGCGTGATATCCTTGTCATCATTGAATATGTCGATACGAGAAATGGCTCGAATGAGGTGATTGCCAGATCAGTCACCTATGCCGGCTTTGTCGGCATGCTGACTGGTGTCCGGTAAGCTGCCTTTGCTTTTCTATTGTAGACCGACATTGGCTAATATCTATCTTAGCAAAGGCCTATCAGTCTCTCTCAATTTCCGCCCAAACTATGAGTGTGGTGCAGGCTGCCTTATGAAGCACCGAATTAAGGTCCTTTTTGGCTTGCGCGAGTCTGTCCCCTCGATGCTCCGCCGTATTATCCTCAATGAGGATATCTCCACCAAGAATGCCAATGCCTATGATACCAAGAACTCCAATCCCCCTGAGGACAGCAAAAAGCTCACTCTCATCAGGTCCATCGGCAAGAAGCTTGCCTCTTCCAAGGCGTCGCCCTGCTACCTGACCCTCTGCGATGGCAGAGAGGTAGTGAACATCCTTAAAGACCTTCGTGACGGCAAGATCAAGACGAGCAGTGTCTTTCAGATTCAGTGCAATCATGACCCTGACCATCGACACTGCTGTGGCCGCATGACTGTACGCCACAGCGCCGACCCTATCCAGGCAAAGCTCATGGAATCTGAGGACTGGATCGAGGCGTCTGCAGATCGTCAGAATGCCTTCCAGGATAAGTGGATTGGACATGTCCGAGGTATCACCAACGGAAATGACATCACCTGGGCCAAGCAGAATAGTTGCTGCACGGATCTGGAGCTTGATGCCGAGGCCAGCAAATCTGGCGAGATGACTGGGGTTGATGAGGCCAGACTACGCAACTGGATCGCTACCTATCCTACCACCAACGAGTCGACTCACTTCATGTGCATCATGGACCCTCTGACTGGTCAGATCCGCTGGATCTCTCGTGGCCCTGACCCTCTCGCAATGTTTGAGTTCGGCGACGAAATGTAGTCGTTGGCCCTTGTGCAACCAAGAGAGGAAGCAGCTGGAGTTTGCACAGCACCGTTGTTGGTCTGACTGTGCTAGGAGGATGCCAAGGAAAGGAGTTCTTGTGCTTGCGGGAGGCACCACATCAACACCAGGCTTTTGCATTTGCACATGAGCCCAACAAAAAGCCGGCAGTGCAGGGAAGTTGTATAGATGGGCACAGGGTATGGGGTACATGAGAATAATGTCATGTAAGGATGACAAGAGTCATGAGAACAGAGCATGCCACCAAGAAAAGCCACTCAAGGCTGTAACGATGAGGTGGTGACTGCGAGCTGTGCCTTTATGAGAGAGACCTTGGTGTAAGTGAAATGTGCTTGGGCTCAGCTCACACGTTGTAGGCGACGCTGGGTGGGGAACACCTGCAGCGTAGCTTCTTCAGCGCCTTCCAGGAGCGAGCCAGCACCATGTCGCCCTCAGAAAGAAGCCAAGAAGGAACATCTGCCCAGCACCGCAATCCCAATTCCATGATCGAAATCTTGACACTTCCGCACCCCAACAACCACAAACCACCTCTTCGCCACTTTTTCCCATCACGGCTCCTATCGAAGCCGAACAGAAAGACCGCCGAAATGCCAGCACCAGCACCAGCTCCTGCTCTGAATCAGGCCCCAATGACAGATCAAGTCCTCAGGGGCATCTTCGCGTCCGACCAAGACATGTACCCCGCGCCGCTGACCTGGGACCGCCTCCGGAGCTGGACGACAGCGGCGCCCGAGCTGGCAACTTGCTTCTACCTCCCTGCCGATGCCGGGGATAGCGGCAGCACCCAGACACTCGTCGGCGCTGTCATTGCACTCCCGATCCTGGCGCCTGCGTGGCGGGACTTGCTGGCGGGCGAGATCAAAGAAGTGGAAGTGGATGCCGAGAGTATGTTCCCTCGCGACGGTGACGAGCGTTCAAAGGTTGGGCTGCACGTCTTTCACGTCGAGAGGTTCGATGTGCCTGAAGCGCGGGGCAAGGTACGAGGATTCGCCGAGACTTCGATGCGGGCTGTCGTAGCTGCTGCAGAGAGGAAGGGATGGTCGATCATCGGCTATTCAGGTAAGTGATTCGTGATGGCTGGTCATGCTGGCATTGCAGGCCTTTGATTGACACGCATCTTTTCGGGATGGGGGATATCGATGTGATCTGACATTTTGACAGCACTCACAGCAACGCCAGAAGGACGAAGATGCTTTGAGAAAATGGGCTTCGAGGCGACGGGCTACGAGGAGTTCTGGGTTGACGATGGCCGCAAAGGTGTCCAACTGGTCACAGTTACAGCGGATACCGCGCCCGAGAAACGCGAAGTGCGAGAAGCGGCGACAGTCCGAGGCCAAGCGAGGATGCTAGCAAAGCACCTGCATCCCGTCACCGATGCTTGACTGCGCTGCCTCTGGAACAAGGGAGAGCCCCTGGCCAGCTTTACCGCCCACGATTTGAGGTTCAGGGCTATCGGAGATTTCGAGACTTCGAGAACAATCAATGAATGATCGACGATGCGGAGGGGGGGGGGGGTCTCCCGTTTGAGTGCGAGGCAAGGAGTGGAATCCAGGCGGAAATTTGGCTTTGAAATCAGAATCCCATCACGAAGAGAAAGCTGGGTCGAAACTGCTTGACACTGGGGCAATCATTCAACCGAACATAGCGACACGCCAACAATTGCCCCGGACCCCGTTTTCCTCGCCAGAATCCCGTTGCTGTCCACCAACAAAGCGCGAAACGGACCTCGGCTCCTGTCACCCAGCAGACGTGGTCCAGACTCGTTGCGGATACCCACGATTCTACGAATTAATGACCCAGTTGGCAGCACCGTACGGTGTACTAAGCCTCGGCCGCTCGCCCCGCGGACCTGCCAACCGGCACGGCTCAGGCGACTACCGATGTTTTCTGCGCTGTTCTTATTTTATCGGGGCCCTCCTCCACCGAAAGGGGCAGCCACCTCCGGGTGGTCGAGCGCCAGAACAACAACGGCATTGAGCTTGTGCTTTGTCATCATTGCTTCATTGGTACGGGGTAGAGATTTTCTTGTGGCACGTTTTGGAGAATCGAGAGGCGACTTCAATCAAGATTGGGTCAAGACTAGTCAGTGATGAGCCTCACCCTGACTCGAGTTCCCTGGGCCGCGGCCATCCCATTGAAACGTCAACTCTTCGAACCATGAAGAAAGATACAGCAAGCAGGCCCACCAAACAACAATGGCGGGAGCTGTGCAAGTCAAAGTCCACGACGATTGACGAAGCGATCTTGACCGCAGATCAGAGAATTCGAGAGACCCTAGTCTTGAGTAGCCTTCGTAGTGACATCGATGAGCTTGATTGAACCTCTCAGACACACCGCCTACCCAAGCGACATCTGGTATGTGTTTCCGCGTCTCAAAGAGGGACATGCCCCGCCATGAACCGCGGCACCTTTCACCAAAAAAAAGATGGAGGGGCAAATGGAAAGGTAGAAAAAATCTAGCGCCCATGTTTAAGTGCTGCTGCTGACAGATCAAAAGAAAGGGTCCGTGGGGGCAACAGCGGCCAAGTCCCGATTGACAATTCCGCTATCCTTTTTCCATCACAAAACACGGCCTGATGGGCATGGCCAATGCCGGCGACCCCCCGGCTGTCGAAGAATCTCCACCGGTCGAACAAGCAAAGTGGGTGCCCCTCCTGGCACTTCTTCCATCATGACGTTACCGTTTCCAATGCCTTCCGTCGCCCCGTGTTTGCTAGGAAGCTGGAGGAGAGCTGGACTCTGAACCGTTCCAAGCGAACCACAGGGTCGGACCCGGCGCGGGCCCGATGGACTCTTTGACGGGATTCGTCATGACATGGAGCTGGTGGTCTCTGTCTACGATATATTTAACACGAAGACAATCCCATATCTTCCAGCTGAGATTTGAAGGAATCACTTACACCTCTTCCCTATACATCCTATCCATTCAATATTGCAGTTCTTGATACCCGTCACTTAGACACTCCCATACACACATATCCAAAATGGCTCCCACTCCCAACAAGTCTTTCATCTTCAAGCAGGTCCCCAAGGGCCTGCCTGTCGCCGGCCAGGACCTCGTCACCGAGGATCGCCCTATCGACCTCGAGCAGGACCTCAACGGCGGCATCATCATCAAGGTCCTTTACTCTTCCTTCGATCCCTACATGCGCGGCCGCATGCGGCCCGCCGAGGCCGGCAAGTCCTACATCCCTCCCTTTGAGCAGGGCGCCGTCATCGTCTCCTCCATCGTCGCTCGCGTCGAGCGCTCCGACGCCCCCCAGTTCGCCGCCGGCGATCTCGTCACCTCCTTCATGGGCCCCAACGCCGAGTACGCCGCCATTCCCGCCAAGTTCCTCCCCGGCTTCTTCAAGGTCCCCAACACCCACAACGTCGACCTCCCTCTCTTCGTCGGCGCTCTCGGCATGCCCGGTATGACCGCCTACGAGGGCTTCTACGACATTGGCAAGCCCAAGAAGGGCGAGACCATCTTCGTCTCCTCCGCCGCCGGCGCCGTCGGCCAGATTGTTGGTCAGCTCGCCAAGGCTGAGGGCGTCAAGGTCATTGGCTCCGTCGGCAGCGACGAGAAGCTCGACTTCATCCTCAACGAGCTCGGCTTCGACGCCGGCTTCAACTACAAGACCGAGTCTCCCCACGACGCCCTTAAGCGCCTCGCGCCCCAGGGTATCGACATGTACTTTGAGAACGTTGGCGGCGACCACCTCGAGGCCGCCCTCGAGTCCTTCAACCAGCAGGGCCGCATTATCGGCTGCGGTATGATCTCCGACTACAACACCCCGCGCGAGCAACAGAAGGGCGTCCGCGGCCTCTTCCACCTCGTCGCCAAGAAGCTCTCCTTCCAGGGCTTCCTCGTCAACTTGTCGCCCGAGAAGTACAAGCCTTTCCAGGAGAAGGTGCAGCCCATGATTGCCAACGGCGAGCTCAAGGTCAAGATTCACCAGACGGATAGCATTGACCAGGCTGCTGAGGGTTTCATTGGCATGCTTACCGGCCAGAACTTTGGCAAGGCTGTCTTGAAGATTGCCCAGGAGTAAGAGAGCCAAGTATGGATTGATGGAAATATTGCATTGCACAACAGGATGGGAAAAGCATATTAGATGTATACTATAATGACAATTGATGACTAATGAACCAAAAATGAAGTCGTGTTGTGACCGTGGACTTCCCCTCTGCTGTACCTCTTGACTCTACTATTATGCTGCCTTGAAATCGCCGGGAAGGCTTTCGACTATGAAGTTACTTCTTCCAACACACCCAAGTCACGATAGGTGCTTAAAAATAGAATACGAGAGACGCACAGTCTTGCAAGCAGACTAGTCTATGTGTGTCATATACGATGCTAAAAGGTCTCGCAGCGGTCACCCATAACTGCCATCGCGAAGCTCATGCTCGGGAGTCACATTTGCCAGGTTTGTCAGCTGAAATTGTGTATAATTCTAAAGTCTGGTATCATACGAAGTACTGTCTAAATTCATGCCACTGCATCTAGCAAGTTTCCGTCCCATGTCTCCCTATCTCCAAGCCCCCTGTCTAAAGACAGAAATCCGGATTATCTGACTAAACGCCAAAAAGCAGCATCGCTAAATCCTGAATCCCATGAACCAGCTAGGAAAACTTTCATCTATCAGCTTGCCTGGTCTTAACCTCTACCAAACAGCTTCTTGGCAGTCACACGTCTCGTAGACGAGGGCGTATGCTCATTGGCGTCATAGTAGCCCCCATAGCCATTAGCATGCTGCTGCTCTGAAATCGATGACTGCGAGCGATGACTATACGCATCCGATGCCGCATCCTCAGGTCTCAGCTTCTGGGGACGAGGGGGCGGGGGAGGTGCCTGGGCCGGCGCGGAAGCCTGTTGGGAGGAAGGAGCCCTGTAGTACTCTTCCTCCTCCCACTGCGACGTGCTGGTGTTTGTCCTAGCGGGCTCGGCGCGCTCCGGTCGGGAGGTCGGGACGGGAGGAGCCTGTGCGGGTGCTTGGTGGCCGCCGTAAGAGTAGCCGTTGGTCGCCGACTCAGTAGGCTGTGTTCTCGCTGAGGGACGCTCTTCGCGCTCATCACGAGAACGTGTTGAGCGGTGAGTAGTTTCGCGGCTTGGACTGGCGTTGTTGCTGACGGGCTTGCGCGTGGTTGCCTGTTTTGGCTTGTCCTCGTCTGAGTCGGAACTGTTGTCCTCTAGATCGCGGTCTTCGTCGGCGTACTGTGAAGCAAACGTTAGCATACTCGGTTGTGAAGGGGCTGAACAGCTGTAACTTACCATCCTCAACTCCTTCCGCATGGCCAAACTGGCGCAAATGTCGCGGGCCTCCTCGATCGCAGTCTTCTGCGTCTTGAGCGTCATCCTGCGGTCGCGCGTCTCCTTGTTCTCGGCGGCGATAGCTTCGACCGTCTCGGCAGGCATGCCGAGAATCTCAACAGAGTTGAAAATGCTGTACATGCCCTGCAACAAATGTCTTTCAACAACCTGGGTAATGGTGTTGCGAATGAAGGTCTTGGCCGCAAGTTCATAGAAGATCAACATCTTTTCGCAGACCTCTTGCGCCTCGGTGTAGGTAGCTCCATCCTTGGTGGTCTCGATCTGCCACTTGCGAAGACGCTCCTCGTACTCGGGGTCGTACGGCTGGATCTCGAGGTTCATGTCTTGCGTCAGGTGCTCAAGCTCGACCTGTGCGTCGGCCAGCAGCTTCTTCATCTGAACATCGAGGAATTGGTAGCGCAGAGGCTCGCGCATGCGCTGAGGCCACGCGAAGTCGATGACCTCACTGAGGAACTCATTGCACACGACGCCGAGATTGTCCTTGTGCTCTTGAGCGAGCTTTGGCCAGTTTTCTGAGTAGCTCTGGAAGAGCATGTAGACAGCGCGAGGCTTGGGGTCCATCGGAAATTCGGAACCGCGAATCTGTCGCAGAAGCATCTCGACTTCTCTACCGACAAATTCTCTCTTGCTGCTGTCGCTGATAGTAACACCGTCTGCGGTACCGGGTGCAGTGGATGACGAGAAGCCGAACTTGCGACCGTTCTGGCGGATGCGGTGGGAGAACTTCTCGTTCTCCTCGATGGCGCGGGCACGCAAGTTCTGAGCGGGAGTACCGCGAGGATCGGCTGTGGCACGGAAAAAGTTCTTGCGAGGAGGGTTCTTGTAGAAACCGTAGACGGCGGGGATAACCAGTTCCTTGGAGCTGGAGAAGAGCTCAACGAGCTCGATGCGCATCTCCTCAACGGTGTCCTTGCCGGTGCCCATAGACTTGAGCTCCGAATCGCAGTCGTCGAGCGCCTTCTGGATCTGCTTGCGAAGTGTCTTGACGTGGCGGCCAATGTGACGTTGCAACTGAACGCTCAGCTTCTGCTTGAGCGCATTGGCACCGCACATGGAGCTGGGAAGAGCACGCCATTTCCCGCGGCCGAAGAATTCCTCCTCACGTTGGCGACGTTCGCGGGCTGAAGGCCAAGGCTGGCCTTGATCGCGGGGTCCAGGGTTCAGCAGGACATACCAGCCGAGCTTGAAGTAGTTTTGCTTGTCTCTATTCTGGACGAGCTCGATGAACTTGTCTTCCAGGCCGATGGACTCGCAAAGATCGGGTTTTGTCAGAACACCAATGGTACGGCTGCCCGAGGGATCGAAGTGGCGTGCCTTTGTGAGAATAGGCGCCTGGACATAGTCGGTATTGCCGCCAACGACGGCAAGGATGATGGTGCGGGAGCTCTTCATGTATCGCTCGCAAAGCGTCTCAATCGTCTTGATGTCGTCCATCGACTGGTCGTTGTTGGCGTTCTTGACGAGACCGGGAAGATCAACAAGAGTGAGAAGAGGCATGTCGGGACCTCTCTTCTCAACCACCAAAATGTCGCGGGCGGCGAATCTGCCCGGAATGTTCTTGGGAGCAATCATTTCCACCGCAGATCTCATCAGAGACTCGAAGGACATGTCGGTGTCGACGGCGCCGCCAAACTGCTTCAGCCGCTCCTGATCTCTGAAAGGCTTGTTCTTGTCGGGGATGATGGAGACGTTGAGACTCGCTTCGGCCGACCTGCGTAGGCGGATTTCGGTTGCGAAGCGTGTGCAGGCGCCGGCATCGCGAGGGAATGGGGTGCCAGTGATGGCCTCGAGGACGGAACTCTTTCCCGCGGACTGGTCGCCAACAACGACGATCTGGGGAAGCTTGACGTTGTCGAGCTGAGCAAACTGCAGCTTGTCAATGAGCTCGAGAAGGCCGCGCTGCTCATTCGCCATGTCCGCCGTCCCCAGCGCCGAGTCGATGTTCGGAGCCATGTCGCGTTCGGGTCTGAGAGAGACGTTAGTTGGGCGGTGACGACTGGTTTCTGGAACCTCGTACAGTGATCCCATCACAGTCTGGTCTCGATAGATGTGTGGTGTGGGCGATTGCGCAAGGAAAAGTCTTGGACCTCAAGAACAGGGTGCGAGCACAACACTGGGAAGGGAGAGCCTTTTAAGAGGAGACTACTGTTCGCCCAGTCCAAATACGAAAGAACAAACAAGCTTATGTGGGATTACGCAGTTACGCAGCGCAAGCCTGCATTGCGGCGCGAGACGTGTCTCGACCGAACATCACATGCCCCTCAGGTGAGAGTGTGTCCAATAGCCATGAAAGGGTGCCTGGATCTGGGCTCCAAGTCGTCGCAAAGCCGCGTCGTCAGCCCTCAGTGACGACCTTGGGGCGTGGGGAAAGGGCAAAGCTTCGCCTACTTCCGCGTCGCCACCGGGGCATACGGCGGTACGGCGATATTAGAGTTGGCATTCCATGGATGTTGCTTGGCTTGAGGCAGCCCAGCAAACAAGAGGCATCCGTTTGGGCCCTTTTTCGCCCGCCGACGGCAATACGGATACTGCAATTTCGTCTGTCACTCGGCGTCGGATAGCAGAGCCGAGACCAGTCGAGGTTGACGGAATGGATACTGTGGGCTAGAGCCTAGAGGACCACTCGGTCTCCATTATGCAGGGCGAAAAAGACTTTGAACAGCAGCGAGAAAGCTGAAAGCAATCCCATGTGCGCAAAGCCACCGAACTTTGGGACGGGGACCAACGCGTTTGTGTCGAGGTTGGACGAATGACGTCGGTAGCTCGGCAGTGGCACAGCCTCATTTTCCCTGTCTGGCACGTCCAGGAAGCCCGCGGTGGGAGGTGGAGGGCCATGGAGGCACACTTTTCCTGTCAAACTTGTTGACTCGGCCGCCGCAAAGTCGCACTTCTTCTCGCTTCTTCGCCTGGTCTCACCCTACGCATGACGAGCGTACGCGTCGGGAGGCACTCGAAGCCCCAATCAGAGCTCGGGTAAATCCGACTAGGCCGGTGTGAGGAGGATTTTGAGCCAGCCAACGTGGTGCTAGAGACGACGACGTTCAACGCCAAGATGTTGTTGGTGGTTGTTTTTTCGCCACTCGTTGGACTGCAAGGATCAGCCGGTGAAACGATTGGAGTATAGTGGCTGTGTAGAGAAAACTGTGGCTAAGCAGTCTGGTCGCCCCGGGTGAGTGATTAGGTAAGTTGAGATACCCCTCTATGTGGCTGTGCTACGGGCCTTCTGGAACTGTGGCGAGTGCTCAAAAGATGTGGCTGAAGCTACCCTCCCATCCTCTATTTCCAAGGTCCGCCGAGACCCTCGAACATCACGTCCTCAATCGCTCTCAGTCCTTATGGATTTCTACCTAGGCACTTATATCATTACTAATGCTCACCTCCGCAACCCCCTAAACCCCCAAGGCATCAAGCACAACAGCGTTCGGATTTCTAAGGAATAGCAAAGGACAAGGAAGCATGAGTAAGCGAAGGCTGGGGACGATTTCATGAGGAAAAAAAAAAGCAAAAGTTCAGAATCCGAACTTGTGAGGTTCGAATTCCTGTGAATCTCGGTCGTTGTGCCATGTCCTGATTCTACAGGTTGTATACCGCTCGGCTACTGCGGGTAATGGTTTTGAGATGAAAGTTGTATTATTCACAGCCGTATTCTATTGGAAGGGGGAGAGAATACACATAAGCCATCTCAGTATCTGAACTCCTGCCCAACAAGCTTCTCGCTTAAAGCCCACAGCATCTCCCCATCGACTTTACTCCTAGCCCACGGGTACACCTCTTCTTTCCAAGGATCAGCAACACGGCAATCACTAAGAAACTCCCCATTCTTCTCCTTCAGCTCCGGATCAAACGCAGCAAACACGTGCGTTGCGGCACCCTGGTCCATATCCTTGGGCTTGATATCCCCCATCCCCCACATATACTTACTCCCCACCACCACATCAGCCTTACGCAGTGCCTCCAGAAACCCGGGGAAGTCATGCGCCTCGTGCGCGGCTAGGTTCGTAGGGACGTACCCCGGGCAGAGACTAAACGCCGTCACACCCTTTGATGTGCCCAGCCTCTCAGCAAGGGCGATGGAGAAGAGGCTGTTGGCCGTCTTGGACTGCCCGTAGGCCACCCACTTATCGTAGTGCTTGCCCTCGTTGAAGTTATAGTCCGTCCAGCGCACATGGCCGAGCCTATGGGCGTTGCTGCTGACGTTGACGATGCGCGGGGAGGAAGAGGAGGCGAGGATCTTGGGCATGATGAGGTTGGTGAAGAGGAAGTGTCCTAGGTGGTTTGTCTGGAACTGGCTCTCATAGCCGTCTTCTGTGAGGCTGTAGGCTGAGGCCATGATGCCGGCGTTGTTGACGAGGAGGTCGATGTGAGGGACGTCTGTCCAAGATGTGACCGTCTCTGCTGCCTTGCGGACGTTGGCGAGGGAGGTGAGGTCTAGCGTCAAGGGCTTGACCTTGATCTCGGGGTGTGTGGTTGCGAGCTCGTCGACGAGGGGTTGGAATTTTGAGGGTGAGCGGCCGGCTAGGATGAGTGTGGCTGGCTTGGCTATGGCGACTTGCTTGACGAAGCTGTCGCCGATGCTGCCCGGGGAGACTCCCGTGATGAGTATCGTCTTGCCGGCGATGTGGGGGGCGTAGATGGGCACCAGCTCGCTCGCTTTGGTTTCGTTGTTGAAAGAAGGAGACATGGCTATAGCTTTCTGTGCCGTACTGAATAGTTTGGTAATGCTTAGTTTGGGATGAGAGAGTAAGGTATTGCTTGCAACTGCCCCTCGGACAAGATGATGAGAACGCAGGGACGGCCTCTATATACCCATCAGTCTCAACCAATACGAAGGATAAACACTACTAAAGGACGTAAGACGTGAGGCGGCCCGCATTCACTGGAAGCACGCTTGGAACGGATAGTCTTGGAATTAGTTCACCCCAAGATCACAAAGCACGAGATGGATGGGCTGCTTCATGTTGATTCGGGGCCATAGATCCCCGTTTAGCTACATGTAAAACCCCAGTAATCCTTCGTAAAGGACGTGGTGCCGGAGATAGGTATACTTCATTGGGGGTTGGGGGTCTTGCTTTCCCTATACGAGAGACCTCAAGCACGGAGTTAACGGTTCTAAGAGATCATACCACCGCCAACAAGTATCGTCAATGGACTATATTGGCACTGTCGGAGAAGTTCCTGCGGCACGGGTCATCTGGAAGCATTTTGGCATATGTGGACCAAACATGTGGTAATATTGCCTGTCCTAAAACCTGCGATCGCATCCCAAGAAAAGCACAATCTGGAATAAGCCATCCCGTTTCGCAAGCCTTCACGCATGTACAACTGTGCCGCTATTTTGTCCCAACGCCCATCTATCCATCCCAGATTCCGTCCCTGAAAACGCCCAAAACCATCATCGTCACTCGTTATAGGTAAACGTCTGCTGCCGTCCGGCGTTCGACGCGGCCAAGGTACGCGCTCAATTCTGCCGGCCGTGCCCGCTACCCCACGTCGCCCCGTTGCTACTCGGAGCCGGAGCGGAGCCCCGCACGTTTGCGCCGCCGCCGGAAGCGGAGGTAGACGATCGGTAGGCGGCAATGTTGTGGAACGGCGCCGCCGAAGGAGGGGCTGTCAGCCAGGTGTTGAGACTGACAGAGCCGCTGGTCTGAGCGTAGGCGAAGGCGCTTGAAAATTGTTCTTGTCTGGGCCGGGGGATGATAGTGTATTGAAAGGGGGAATGAGCTTGGTTGGAAGACATCTTGGCGGCTTCGAGGGTGGAAATTTGGGGCTTGTTCGTCTTGACCGCGATTGAGATGAGATGTGTGAATTGCAATGAGAGATTGAGCGACCGAATGAAGGGGAGAATTGGCTCGATAGCCCAGCTTTTGTAGTCATGATGAATGCTCCTCGAAATCCTCGCTCCTCACCACCATGAGGAGCGAAGCGTGAGGACCCTCCTCCTCCTCTTCCTCTTCTTCATCCTCGCCCTCCTCCTCAACAACAAAAAGACCAGGGGCTTTCCAGCGGGGTCTTTTGCGCCTGACTCCTCGCTATGGACAAGAACAAAAAGTCTGAAAGTTGTTGCCCATGATGGTGATGATGATGATGAGGTCCGGAGCCGCGGATGATTGTCTCCTATCAACGCCTCCGGGATCCGGGACTCGGGCGGCGGACCGCCGCTCAAAAGAACCTTGCAACATCAACAAGGCAAAAGTACGCAGGCGTGGCAGGTACTTTTGGCTCCCGAGGGCTACTGCAAGGCACGGACGTTCGTTCCTGGTACCGGATTGTCCATTGTATCAGGAGGAATGCGAACGCATTGGAGATTGCGGTGCAAAAAGACCATGACAGAGTGCGAGGGGAAAGAAAGGTTCGATGATCGACCGCGCCAACAGCCTGGCACCTTGTCACCGAGTTTGTGTTTGCTCCTTCGAGGATGGTCTTTTGCCGCTTGGCCGCCCGAACGTGTCAAATTCCAGCCAACAAGGACCTCGCTTGCAGTGGTCATGCAGAGTACTTGTGTGTATTGACTTGATTGGCCCCCTCACCGTGGCCGCAGTCCGAGAACACTATATTTCAGAGGCGGTCGCTTGCGTGGCAGGTCATGGCTAATAGGGTAGTAAAAGCATAATTAGACAGCTGGGCTGGCCTCATGGTGAGGTGTTGTGGAATCGATCCGCAACTTGTCCATATATTGAGACAATGCTGGCTGAGCTTCAGTGAAAAAGGGCCGCACGGGCAGAACAACGCCAAAGGGGGCCTTTTGGTTGGAGAAGATCTCCGGGTATCTATTCTCTCGCTCCTTCTCAGGGTTGATAATTCCGTCGTTATCGTAGTCTACCGACATATTGTACACACCACATGCTCCGCATGTGAAATTCGCCTATTTTACCGCTGACACCATGAGAAGATCAACTCCGCTCCCATCCGACTGTTCTGAAGACTTCCGCGAGCGCACCAAGAACTGTATCGACGATAGACTTGACGAAACCTTGGCGCTTGCTCTTGCCGGAGGAGTCCCGCAGCGGGTCTTCGCTTCCCATCGTAGGCAGGACGTTGTCGCTAGCGGACAAGCTCACGAAAAGAGCAAAGGGAATGAGCCAAACGCAGAGTCCAAAGTATGAGGCGATCTCGGTAAAGCTCGGGACATCGGGTTGGTCGTAGTAAGAGTGCATATTCGAATACGATCTTTGCTGCGCGGCAGAGAAGTGGCGGAACCAAAGGTAGTGGTTGACGAGGACCAGAACTAGACAATCAAAAGTTAGTTCCGAATGTGAATGTATAGTGTGTTTTCGTCAGTCTCTAGCACATAAACATACCACAAGAGGCCAGGAAGAGAGGGTCAGTCAGTCTAACGAAAGGGAAGCGGCGCATGTTGCCGAGGTAGACGACGTGGGAGATAACTCCCATGAGGGTCAACTTGAACGGGAATCGGTCGACGATGCATAGCAACAACTGCAGGACAATGACCGAATAAATCAACTTGGTAAGAAGGCGTTTCGCAAAGACGGTATGCTCCTCGACAAGCTCCGATAAGTAATACAGACCGGAAGCTGGACACAAGGGTGTCAGTAAGGAAACATCCTCGACCTGAGTGCCAAGGGAGAATCGGGGGGTCAAGACGAACCGATGGCGAGGGTCAGGAAGCAGAAGCCCACGATGGAGCCAAGGTAGCCGACCAAAGGTAGAATCCACATGGTGACGGATGTGATGTTTAGAATGTCGTCGTAGTACGTGGCATGAAGTGAAGTAGGAAATAAAGAGAGCGAATGTGTGAAGTTGGTGAATTATTGGTCTGCCGGGGTAGGAGGGTTGCGCACAGAAGCTCCCTACATTGCCTCTTGAAGCTATGACGGAGCTGGCCAGGGCGCGTCGTGAAATCCACTTTGCGAAAGCGTGGCCTTTGCGCGTCGGGTACCTTAGTGGACGGGCACTCGGGGGTTTCCATGATCCGCGGTGGATGAGATAAGCGATCGTTTAATTGGACGCATCCTCCTATCTTCGACCCCACCAACCCCTGGCTGCGGGGAGCATATCCTTATCGATAAACCCTTGATTGTGATTGACCGTTTTCTTATCGATAACTATCCGTGACCCCCCAGTTGCGAATTTTTGAGGATTTCCCACGACACACAATTCACCGCCCAATTCTTCGATGCGCCGGAGTGACGACGGACTGCTCTGAAGCGAATATTGACGGGAGTCTCCAGTTAAGATCAACCGAGGTCAATCTTCTACCAGAAACTGCCCAATATGTCGCGCCCTGAGGATACCCTGTAAGCTACAGACCTCCCTTCCAACCCCGCCATGTGCCTCCAGCTGACCAAATCTCTCTGCTCTCAGTGCGGCCGACATCCACTACAATGACTCCGAAGCCCGCAAGTACACGACGAGTTCTCGTATCCAAAATATTCAGGCATCCATGACCCGCCGTGCTCTCGAGCTCCTCGACCTCAAGCAGCCCTCCTTCATCCTCGACGTCGGTTGCGGCAGCGGTCTCTCCGGCGAAATCCTCACCGCCGAGGGCCCCGAAGACGGCGGGCCACACACCTGGGTCGGTATGGACGTGTCACCCTCTATGCTCGATATTGCTCTCCAAAGAGACGTAGAGGGCGATCTCCTCCTCGCAGATATCGGGCAGGGCGTACCCTTCCGCGCCGGTTCCTTCGACGCCGCGATCAGCATTTCCGCAATTCAATGGCTCTGCAACGCCGAGAGCAGCGACACCTCGCCCGAGGGCCGCCTCACCAGATTCTTCAACGGCCTCTACGCATCATTACGCAGAGGCGGTCGCGCTGTGTGCCAATTCTACCCCAAGAACGATACCCAGCGCAACATGATTACCCAGGCCGCAGTCAAGGCCGGCTTCGGCGCTGGTCTGCTCGAGGACGACCCCGAGACGAAGAATGTCAAGCTCTACCTTGTGCTGACTGTCGGCGGTACCGCAGAGGGTGGTCGCGGAGGCGACATCACAAATGTCGTTGACGGCATGGACAACGTCGATGTCGAGGATGCGAGGAGGAAGGCCAGCCAGCAGAGTGGTAAGGGTGATATCAAGAAGGGGAGCAAGGCGTGGATCGTCAAGAAGAAGGAGCAGATGGAGAGGAAGGGAAAGGTCGTCAAGTCTACCTCCAAGTACACTGGACGCAAGCGCAGAACCGCCTTCTAAGCGGACGGTCCTTTGGCGGGTTCTCGGGGATGTCGCATGGCATGGCGTTCAGGGGTACAATGGAAAACTTGCTTTTAGAGATCGAAAATCGAATCAGATACCCTCATTTACCTCTCAGAGTCTCTGTTCTCTATCTGAGACCGTTCTGTTCACGAATTCGGACTTAAGAGACCAACGATCTCGGGTTTGCAATGCCAAAAAGAAAATTCATCTGACCACACCAGGAATTGAGCAACGGATGCAGTAATACCTCGGGAGACTTCGCCGAAGTAGACAACAACTCAAGCATCCAACTCATGATGTGGCAGATAACAGATGAGGCAACTTTGGATCCTATGACCCCTTTCCCCTTTACCTGAAGATTGAACCCATCAAGGTACCTAGCCTCATGCAGTGCAACCCTTTCCCACTTACTTGTGGATCATGAAGCTTTTTTCTACTGTCAGACCTCTAATGAAGACCTTCTCACCAAAGCCAGGTATCTAATGTATTCCATTCTTTCCTACTCATCAAGGAGCTGAGATAAAATGAGTGTAGATAACAGATCAATAGGAGGATCTCTTCAGCTCACTTGCGATACCACATCCTCGACTTCCTTCCCTGTCGCATTTTCCGTTGCAATTGCAACATCCCATAAAGCAACGCCTCACTCGTCGGCGGGCATCCAGGAACATAGATATCCACCGGCACCAAGCGATCACATCCACGGACTACAGAATAACTGTAGTGGTAATACCCCCCGCCGTTGGCGCAGCTCCCCATACTAATAACCCAACGTGGTTCCGGCATCTGATCGTAGACTTGGCGAAAAGCGGGCGCCATCTTATTCGTGACGGTACCCGCGACTATCATGACATCCGACTGGCGCGGTGACGCTCGGAACATGAAGCCGAATCGATCTTGGTCGTATCGTGGCCCGGCGATGTGCATCATTTCTACGGCACAGCATGCGAGGCCGAATGTCATTGGGTACATTGATGACTGACGACCCCAGTTGGCGAGTTTGTCGAGGGTGGTTCTAGTGAAGCACAGATTAGGAGTAACCCATGGGTGATGCGCTCTGGACTGGGATACTTACACGGCGTATTCCACCAGGAACTTGGGCTGTGATTGTGTAGGAAGAGCAACTTCGCGACGATTTGGGCGTGGAGAGACAAACTTCTGGCAAGTAGGAGAAGTTGCTATGCATCGAGCGTTGACTGGTGGGAGAATCGATCGCGTCGCGAGTCCTACGGCGCGGGGCATCTGGGTTGCAAGAGCCATTGACATGTTGTACAGGAGAAAGGGCTATTTCGTACAGAGGTAGGAGCGATGGTCTTTGCAATAGACGGTGGAACGGAAGGGGAAGCGGTGTCTCTTAAAGCCCGGGAAGTATGCATGGGTCCCGGGCTCTGATACTCAGGGCTGGAGGTAAGACGTCTAGGAACACTAGAAACAGGGGGTAGGACCTCAAGTATTTACTAACTTGGCTCCAAATATAACTTGAAGAGAGCTGCGAGTTCAACTTACAGCTCAACGACATGAAGCTTTCATGAGGCTCCAGGTAATACTCGTCATGGTCCAGGTCGGAGCATCTTGCGAAGCCAGGCCTCGGATAGGTTTGCCAGAACCAAAGCAGACATTTCACAAGAAAACGAGGGCTTAAAAACAATGATGGCCTCATGTACAATCATGAGATCCCTCATCAAGTTGTTCAATGATCACGAGCTTGTAGGCCTTTCGCGCAATTCGTTAACCATGATTGGTCCTCCGTCTAAGTCGAAGCGCAGCCCCACTTCGGACTCGCGACGAGAACGAAGTGGGGCCAAGTGATCCGAACCCGCCTGCCCGGGACCCGTAAGTCCGTCGTCAGTAACACAACCGCAAGGCCATCCGTCCGCTGCAATCCTTTCAAAGAACGCATTCTGATCAAAATAAATCTTCATTCGTTCTAACATTCCCTGTTTCCGCCGGCCTTGATGCAGTTAGACTCTTCAGCAGCAACCCCTGACGTCGGCATCTAACGCTTGCCCTTTGGCCCCTGGATCAGTGCCCACCGGAGCTGTAAACGACAGACCTTGGCATGGAACTCCTTCCTTCCTTACGACATGGGCCTAAGAGAGCTCATAAGAAGGTTCGAACGGGATGTATTGCCTGTAAGACGAGGCACGTAAAAGTAGGCGGCCACCCCAAGTCAGGTTGAGCCCAGATCTGACTGCTACTCGGGACAGTGTGATGAGCGAAGACCGCAATGTAGCCAATGCACCAAGCAAGCTATTGCCTGCAGTTTCCTTTCAAAGGAACTATGTCCTCCCACAGAGACTACGACACCAAATCTGTCTCATAGTCTTTCCTTCAGGGACGGAGCACTTGATCTCAATATGCTTGATCTCGAACTCATACATCACTGGACACTCTATACATATGATAGCTTGACAGTCAGCCCTGTGATCAGGACTTTCTGGCTGAGAAATGCGGCGCAAATCGGGTTCCGCTGTGACTTCGTCATGCGGAGCTTATTGGCCCTGTCTGCCGTTCACCTAGCAACTCTGAACCCAGCGCGAGAAGAAGCCCTCTTTCGACATGCACTGAAGCATCACAACACATCGACAGCGGCGACTATTGCATCAATACACCATATAGATCAAGTGGAAGATGTCGCCATGCGAGAAAACCTTTTCCTATACTCAATGTTCATCATGTTTTATAGTACGCATTATTCGCTTCTCTCGACAGATATGTGGCGCTAATATCCCTGTTACTCTTCTAGTCATCTCACAGACGGAACACCCCCAAGATGCCTTCTTTGGCCGTCCGAGTCGGAAAGAAACATCATCCCCGGACTGGATGGTATTCTTCCACGGATCAAGGTCAATCGCGCTGGCGTCAATGGCACTGCACACCACGACCAGTCTAACCCATCCAGTGATTGGCTATACGATGGGAATGCTCGCAGATCGTGAGAGGACATCAAAGAAGCAATACCTCAGCACCTTGCTTGCCCGCATAAAAGAAGTCGATTCGAACGAACATTACGAAACGTATCTGCATGCCGCGGAAGAGCTTGAAGCAACCTTTGCGGTCCTGGCCGAGTTCCCAGAAAGCAGAGATATTTTCCACGGGTTCCTCTGGATCAGCAACGTATCGGACCACAGGGGAGATCTGATCGCCTTGATCCAGGGTCGTCATGCGTCACAGGAAGCGTTGGTTGTGTACACGTACTTTTGCAAGATGATCCAAAGGCTTCCGGCAAGATGGTGGTCCGAAAAATGGGTTCGGGGGCTCAAGGATGGTGCACTTGCCTCCCTCGATGAAGAGCATCGAGCTTGGGTCGTTGAATTGCCAAGTTGGACCTGATTCGTCTTCAAGCACACCTCAGGCGCACAGCTTTATCAAATCGCCTCGGCCATTAGGAAGCACCCGCAGACGTGCCGGTATAATCTCCATAATCCCGGAGGTTGACTCGTGCTTTACAAGCACCCATGTTCACCCGAATGGTTCACGGACAGCGCTGACATCCAACCGATGACAACCCTTTCGTATGCAAATGGCGTAAGCTGGAAAGCAACGTAGATCCTAGTGCCGAAATGTCGGAGAATAAGCACCATGCATTAGATGAAATGCATCGACTCTCATTAGCGGAACGCTACAATGGATTTCGCGCGATAGGTCGGGAGCCGTTAAGACAGGATCCACCGCTCGGGAAACGGCCCCCGGCTGGGAAACTGGGACCCGAGATCCGGGGAGATCGGCGGGCCGGGCTACGTCGCGCAACCGAGCCGGAGCCAGGGGCCGGACTCATAAGAGAGCATTGTACTTTTAAGCCGTCGTTCGGCGGACGACTAGAGTTGATGTTGCGAGAATAGACATGAAATAAAAATATCTTTATCGAACCCCTCGGCATCGATATTCATTATTTTACTAGCAACAGTCAATACACCAAACTACAATCTCCGTCACAAGATTCCAATTGATCCTCGTATTCTCCCTCTTTTTTTAGCGGTCGTGGCAGCGAAGCCTGTCGTTATATTCGCGATGCCTTCAGTCGCGCTGTCGCTGCTTGTTTCAGCGGCTGCGGTATGCCAGTCGAAAGGACAAATGCCGTGCCCAAGCTAACCACTTTTCCAGCTAAGCATCTATGGAGTGGCAACGGTCATCTACAACCTCTTCTTCCACCCCTTACGCCACTACCCGGGACCCAAGCTATGGGCAGCTACGCCTCTACCCGCAGCCATCAACATCCTCCGAGGCACTCCCCACCTGACCATTCTGGAACTGCACAAGCGCTACGGCGACGTCGTCCGCGTTGGACCCAACGAGCTGGCACTTGCACACGCTGACGCTTGGAAGGATGTCTGTGGACACCTCAAGCGCGGGCAAGACGAGAACGGAAAAGACCCAAAGTACGGCAACGAAGAGATGGACAAGAGCCTTATTTCGGCATCACGCGAGAGGCACGGGCCCGCACGACGACTGTTGTCTCACGCGTTCTCTGCTCGAGCAATGGCGGAGCAACAGCCCCTGATGGACCGATGGATCAGCCTCTTCATCCAGAGAGTACATGAACACAGCAAAGGTGGAACGGTGGCCATGGATGCTTCGAAGTGGTTCGAGTGGACGACCTTTGACATTATTGGGGATCTAGCCTTCGGCGAATCCTTTGGATGTTTGCAGAACTCGGCCTCGCACCCGTGGGTGGATAGCTTCTTCGCGTCCATGAAGATAATTCCATGGATTCAAGCCATTAGCGACTTCCCTCTCTTCTCCGTGCTAAAGCCTCTCTACTTCCTCCTCTTTGTCCCTAAGGATGTGCTGAAGCAGCGGCATCTAAGCCAGGTGATGGCGGAGGAGAATCTGAAGAAACGGCTGGCCATCGGAGGTGATCGGCCAGACTTTGTTCAAGCCTTGTTGAAGAGCGGCGAGAAGCTCGTAAGTACCAACTACCAAGTTCACAGCCCAAATTTCCTACGTTTTCGTCTCACAGATATGATGTGTAGGAAATGTCTCCGATGGAGATGAGGGATAACATGGTCCTCCTCACCACTGCTGGCTCTGAGACAACTGCTACGACTCTCGCGGCAACGACATACTTCTTGGGCAACCACCCCGAGGTCCTCGCAAAGCTGAATGCCGAAGTCCGCTCAGCATTCAAGAGCGAGCAGGACATTGATGTCAACAGCGTCCAGAGCCTCCCTTACATGCTTGCTGTTCTCAAAGAGTCAATGCGGGTTTATCCTGCCGTTGCGATTGCCTTGTTGCGTCAGACGCCTCCGAGCGGTGCGCAGATCGCCGGGGATTGGGTTACTGGAGGGGTGAGTCTGCCTACCTCCATGACGACGCGGCTTGCTTGAGTTTTATGCTGACATCAAATACCATGCAGACGACTCTTGGTATCTGGCAGTATGCTGCGTATCACGATCCCACCAAGTTCCTTTACCCGGACGCGTTTATCCCGGAGCGTTGGTTGGATGATAAGCGTTTCGATGGCGACCAGAAGAACTTGCATCAGCCGTTTTCTTACGGCCCTCGCAATTGCTTGGGCATGAAGTATGTTTTCTCGTACTTGAACGCGCTCTTCCTCGTCCTTGAGGTCTTGACCAAGATGGTTGTTAACATGATGCGTATCTAGCCTTGCATTTGCCGAGATGAGATTGATTCTTGCCCGCATCATTTGGAACTTCGACTTGGAGCTGGCGCCGGAGAGCAAATCTTGGGCAGATGGTCAAAAGGTTTTCTTCTTCTGGGACAAGCCTCCCTTGTGGGTGTACTTCAAACCCCGACAAGAGCAATGAACTATTTCGTAGCTTCCTTCGAAACGTCATACGGTGATCAGATAAGTGTTAGAAGCAAGGGATAAAGTTCAAGACCAGTAAGTGATATCCTAGTGAGAAGCAAATTTAGGAGGATGGTAGTATTGTATCTTAGATGGATTAGCTCCGTGCTTCGACTTCGCGTGGGTGAAACTTTTTGTCTGCTTCGAACATGAATATTTTCCCACAGGAGGCCGATCAGAAAAGCAATCCAATGACGCACACTACTTTTCTGGGCCTGTGACAGTCGCATCAACGGAGAAAGTTTGGAAAACATATCTATATATCTAATTGAATTGGCGATTCATGGAAACATTGCAAGTCAAACAATTCCCTGCCAATAAGTCTTTGCCACCTTACACAGCACGGAAAATCATCTTTGATAACGACACCAAGACAGCAGAGGCACCAAATCACGATAAAACTTCCCACAGTGGTATCTTACTTATTCCAAATCTTTCTCACAGCAGATATTCCTGTTGCATGTGCCGGCCCTCTAGCCCACGGCACTTGCCAGGCTGGGTGCGCCGGCGTGGCCACGGCCTGCTATGCTGCTGCTGACTGTGTCTGGGGCGCAACTGCTGGTGCAGGGGCGGCACCAGCTCGAGTCTCTTTCAACTTGGCATTCGGAAAATGTCAGACAGCCTGTGCCCTTGTTGCCTTGGCTCCTTGTCCCTAGAAAATATTCAACGTCGTCTTTCCAAGGTTAGTCTACTGATCCTCTTTTAAATATGGACCAGGTCGTGCAGTATGTGCAGATGAGGCGATTTGAAGACACCTTAGTACCAAAGTCAGAATGAAAACACCTTGCTTTGTATATGGTATCTTGCTGGCACTTGACGGCTCTATCTTAATGAGTGGGATATGCCGCTTTAGCCACGGATTGCAGCCCCATGTTCGGCGAGCATTTCTTACAGCAAGCTTGGAGGTGTCATTGAATTGGAATTGTTCAAATTCGCCTCTACAGTCTTGAATAGTGCAAAAAGCGATCAGAAATATGTATGTAGTAGCATCGTAGAAAGCGGGGAAACAATAAGCAGGTAGGCTAGAGACCAGCCAGAAAGACTTCTTCTTGCTTGTCGTCTTAGACATGGAGAGCACTCGGGAAATTTGCTTGAACGCTTTGAAATATGTTTTTTATTCGTGTGACTCTGAGTAAGTATGTAGGAGCATTAACATCACGGTGTCACGCAAGTACTGGAAACGTCAAGCGCGGACACATGCTTTTGTGCATTCTATACTTTGCTGAAACAGAGTTAGCCATGAAGATACGAATAGGGCCCTCCCGGAACAACTTACTTGAACGCAACTCCCGCGTCACTTGAACTGATCCCGGTTTGAATAAATGTATCAGACCAGACCTTATTGTACCTAAGGCGTCGGATGTTAGGTTTTCGTTTGCGATGTACACACTGACGCTTCAATAGAGAGAACGAACCTGTTGCAGATATAATAAGGGTTGTAGGCACCACGGTTGAATTGAAGAACTCTGTAAAGGAAAACAGAGGCGCATTGGTCTTCGGGAGAAGCCGTCAGACGTGAAAGATAGCTTGTGGATGGGGTAAACTTACCTGTGCACTTAGAGAGACACCACTGCTCTATTCCGCTCGTCACTCCTTCACTTGCACTGTCAGAAGTGGCATCGTAGTCGGCACTAGCTACTCCATCCTGCTCCAAAACCTTAGTAAAGCCTTGGGGAGCATCACTCCATGTAGGTTTTGGCGGCGGGGAAGGCTGTGCAGATGCCGATGACGAGGGCGCGGCCGGAGTTACAGCTGGACCAGAGGTCGAAGTCGGAGCTTCCGGAGCAGAGGTACTAGTGGGAGCTGCGGAGGCAATGGAGGTTGCTTGACAGGCACCGGCGCCGCTCGAAGGCGCCGCTTGGCGGCGTCTGCCCGCAGAAGATCCAGGAGCCGAACATGCCAGACCGCGAGGGTCAATGCCGTTCCAGATGACTGCGGGCTCGCCCTCGACTCTTGAGTATGCGAGAGATTGGACCATCTCCTTGACGTTTGTGGCAACTGAGCCCGGAACCTGGAGACGGGCCTTGTGCTCGTCTTGAGATAGCCAGACTGCAATCACGCCAGCGACTGCAGGCGCGGCTAGGGGTTGAACGTCAGTTAACAGCTCTCCTAAAAGTGCAACTTTTGCGAGAAGAATTGGCAATTGCTCACCGAAGGAAGTTCCGTAAAGCTCCTGCGAGCCGGCAGATCTGCCAGAGGCACAATCCACAAAACCGGGGGCGGAAACAGTCAGTTGATCTCCACTGCCTTGAGAGAAGAATGCGCGGTAGCCGTCATTTTCAGTCGCGCCAACGACGATGATATCCGTGGTAGGTCCGAAAAGAGCAGGGTACTCCGTCACATCATCGACGCCGTATTGCTGAACAACAAAACGTGATTAGTATGATGGAAATCCAAAGATAGAAGGCACAATTTTGGAAGACTCACAGCATCATTTCCAGAAGCCGTGACGATGACGATATCCTCCGCCATAAGGGCCACAAGAAGTAGCTTGTACGCGGTGGTGGTAGACGACAGCTTGTCAGGGATACCTGCCATAGGTGGATGATTAGTGTGTTCTTAGAAGTGCAGCAAAGCCAGGCTGATAGAGAACGAGGCTCAACGTGAGACTTACGAGATCCTAGCGACATATTGATGACAGCTTTGCCTTCAAGCTTCTTCTGGAAGACATCGTTGCTAATCTCAATCAGAGCCGTGAAGATAGCGGAAAGCGAGAGAGTTCCTGGCAGCTTGACAGCAATCAAATCGGCCCCCTTCGCGGTGCCGTATGCTGGTCCAGCTGCTTTTGAAGCTACGCACGAGCCGTGATTCAAGAAGTCGGTCTCATCTTTCGTCGCACCAGGGGCGTACATAAAGCCCTTCGTTCCCGTCATGCCTGTCCATTCCTGCCATGGGTTAGCAATTGGTCACGGACGGGATATGTCTTTTGGAGATGTCATACCGAGTTCTCAGCATTGGCGCCCGTGTCAATGACATAGATAGTGACTCCCTTCCCTGCTTCTGAAGCATATCCGAACCCAGGCAAGTCTGCAATGCTTGCTCCAGCTGGTTGCGAGATAGCCTTGAGTTCATCAACTGCATCCGATTGTAGTGCGATGTCAGCCGGGTTAGGAACACTTGTCTTCGGCGAGCCAGGTGGGCCAGTGGCCGTTGGTTGGCGGGATGCAGATGATGGCGGCGCAGAAGATGACGGCGGTTGCTCTTCTTCCAGCCTCTCGTCGGGAGTGACCCCAGCAACCTATGTGTTCACTTAGTACTGCGAAGTCTCGCGGAAGGAGGAAGAATTAGACTTACACCCGGACGCTTTGACATAGCGTCTGCCTGCTCGGTGGTGATGTTCGCCTTGAACATGGCCACCAAGCCGGTGCGATCACTAATGACCTCCTCTAGTGACCTTGGAGCAGCATCTCTTGAGAGTGTGCTGTTGAGATCTTGAATCTCTTCTTTTGTGGAATTTTGCGAAGTGAGAATGATGTAGGGATTTGGTACAGCCGTGGACGATGGCGTAGAAGATGATGTTGCAGATGTTGAAGTAGGGGCTGCGGAGGTAGAGCTGGGAACCGACGGAGCAGAAGAAGGAGGTTTGGATTCTGCCGGATCCGAGGTTTGTGGATTTTGTGATGGGGCCGGGTTCGAGATGTTCTCAATCTCAGGAGTATCACCATTCGCTCCAGTGCCGATGATTGACACAACAGCTCCAGGAGCTAGTGCATGCGTGACACCAGCAACCACAAGGGATCCGCCACCAGCGCCAGCTACGTAGGTTGCTCCGATAACTGCTACGACGACCTCTCCACCAGAGATTGTCTGAGTTGTCGGTGCTGAGCTAGACGTCCCGATGGTTGTCCACGCGGATGATACGCGCGTGGATGTTCTGGGGTCGGGAGTGATTAGGGGTTGTGTGGAGGAGGCTCTGGTGCTAGCTGGTCTTGTGGTGTTTGAGACGGGGGCTTGTCTCGCCATCAGATGGCGTCTGCTGTGCATCAGATCGTTCCGGCTATCCTGGTGCGGGAGTGAGACGGCCCCGCTGCTGAGTAACAGCAGGGCGAGCCCGCGGAGTAGGCCATTAGGATGCATATGAACGAAGGGCAGGTAAAGAATGACTATGCTCAAAGAGCGAAGGTAAAGATTGAATAATCGTCAAAGGATAGTGAGCGATGGGCAGGTGCAATTGACTTAGACCGGATCATGTCTGATTGCTAGGATATATAGAATTCTTACCGTCTAAGACAAGCTAACAGGCCTTCTTCTGCCAGCGGCTGATGAACTGCGGCCATAACTGCCATCTGAACTTTCCCGTCTTGGCGTAAAGTTCAGTCGATCAATTTACTGTCAGGAGAACTTTGCGCCATATTAACAAGCATAATCGTGAGGAAGCTTGCCCACGTGCCTGGAGCTCTCTGCTAGCAGTTGATGCGGTTATTCTTAGCAACGGTGCAAATCGCTTACACGATGCGGATAATTTAAATCACACGGAGATAAACTTTAATAATAATGTTTGGACTGACAGTTCCAGCGGCGTGGCAGCCCTATAAGTTCATGACTCAGGGACGTAGAGTCCAGGCCCAGTTGCCCCTCCTTCAGGAATCCGCGGCTTTACGTGAAGCATGGATATTGGTTGCATGGTAATAAGAGGCTGTGTGCCGCGCGCCTTTTGTCCAATATAAGCCGATTTAGCCATCAAGGTCATGTTTCGGAATCCGTGGTGCCTTGGCTTCCGGATAAACTTGGAAATTTGTGGCCGAGCCCGTACCGACCGTGGGTTGATCTAATGAAAAGGCGCCAGATCATGACGCGGTCAATAAAGTTATGAATGAAGAATTGCAGGGTCTATCTTGCAGATCCTTGTCACCGCGTTGGAGGAGATAGCTCTGGTTACGTCCTGTGGATGCCTAGTGATGGCTGTTCTGGAAAATATTGAGGCGCGTATGTTGCATACTGCGGCGTCGGAGAACTCGGCGTGAATCTGAGACGCTCTCCGTGCCTTTTGATTGATTATAAATAAGGGGGCGATTGTAAGATCTACTCGATACTTCCGTTGACAGAGAATCGAAGATCCGATCTACTGCGAGATGGCGTCAGTATATATGTGCGTGCTTTCCTCAAAGATAATAAAGAATCATATAGCTATCCGACCTGATTCCCCCCATATTCGCCTATGAATAGTTCAGAGTAAAGCAAAAGTTATAGAAAGACTAGAGACGGGTATACTGACATCTTCTACGTAGTAGGTGATGGGATAACGCGCCATTTTCTTAGCAATACCCTGACATGTATTCATCAAGAGTGATTGAGTGAGTCTGGGAGGTTACACAATGAGATCAACCCTTCTTGGTGCGTTGATGAATTTCAAGGTGATAATGCGTGTCCGTATATTCTATTTATTCCACGGTTGATCTCTCGATGCCCCCTCGACATGTTACTCCTGATATTTGATAGCGACTAATCTTTTGGTGCTCCTGTTCTCATTCTTTACCCTGGTCCACGGATTCCCTCACGCAACTTCATCAAACACGTGGGATACCCTCTACGACGCACACCTACGTGCTTAAAGTAAGTAGGAGAATGAAACATGAAATAGATCATTGTGCAGAGGTCTCTGTTTGACTTCTAGCGGGTTTCGTCAAAGCATCTCGCGTCTTAACCATCCTCCAAACTCTGGATGGTCGGCTAAGAGAGCACGATTCGGGGTCATGGGAGTCATTACGCTTCGGACGAGTGTCAAAAATTTCCCGTGAAATCGTATTCAAGGACTGAAAAACAACAGGATCTTTGAATGATAAAACAAGGTAGTCCGGTTTCCTGCCCACATCCACGTGGCAAATGAAGGCTGCACCGCTCCAATTACAATTGAAATGTTAGGTCGTTTACGAGGCGCCAACCAACTAAAGGGCCTAGCGACACTGATCATTCAACTCCGGCGAGCCAATTGAGAAGAGACGCTAAGCCCTGAGCAGTACATGGCACCACCTTCCCCTCCCTCATTTTCTCTCTTGAACATCGCACAGCAACCAAGCAAGAGAAGTCTACGGCGCTTTATGCAGCGGGAGTGACCGCTGCATCACTCTCATTTGACATGTACTCGACAAGCGTTCAACTTTAGTGACCTCGTCTCTGATAGACATTGCTCGGCGATGGGTCCATTTTCGACGTTAAAGGATGCTGAACCTGAAGGATCCGGACCACAGGAGTTCGCCTATGCTCTCCGATGCGTTCAGTTGCTCGCAGGCCATGGATCTCAGCCGATCAGTTGCAAATTGAAGCCATCTACATTGGGACGAATTCCGTACCAGTATGAGGCGTTGTCATACGCATGGGGCGACACAACGAAAAGAGTCGAAATTCTTCTAGAAGGACAGCCATTCAAGATCACTCAAAATCTCGAAACGGCTTTACATCGTCTCCGGTCGGCAAAAGAAGATCGCTTATTGTGGATTGATGCAGTATGCATCAATCAACAGGATCGCTCCGAAGTCAATCTGCAGGTCAAGAGGATGTGGGCAGTGTACAGATACGCTTCGAAGGTCATTGTTTTCCTAGGCGAGGGGACGGCTAATACTCACCACGCTATCGACCTGATACAGACCTTGGCAAAAGAAAAGAAAGGTCTTAGCCATCGATATGTCACGTCGCTATTATTCACCAAGGATGCTCAACCTACGAAGCAGGCTCTACGAACGTTAATGAGCAGCCCATGGTGGAGCAGAACCTGGGTTATCCAAGAGTTTTCAGTTGCGACAGAAGTTGCCTTCGTCTGTGGTAACCTGGAGTGGTCCGGCGAATCCTTTTCTGAAGCACTGCGGACTCTGGTAGACGTCAGGTTCAACGCCTCTCTACCGCGTGGACAGGAACTAAAGGTGGTCCCATGTGAGGTAGATAAGAGAGACCCCTAATTTAGAAACAACACAACAAAAGAAGAAGATGACGATGAAAAGCGCGCTTCGAGGAATTAGCGAGGTTTCCTAGTTCGCTATTGGCATACCAGAAATTATCACATGGTCCCTTACCTCTTCCGAAGAAGGCAATTCAATCGTCGGTGCTATGCCAAGCACCGAGGCCCCTTGTGATTGCGGCCCGGAGCTTAACCCCGCAAGAAGGTATTCGACTACACTACGAATAGTCTAGTCTGAACGATGGATAAGTGGATGCAACATGCCACGACTGTCCTACTGCGTAGGCCAGGGGCTGGGGACAGAAAGTGTTGCCAGGGCATCCATCCTACTCCCCACAAATAGTCGAAGACCGTTCATGCGCCGGCAAGCTCCTCGTCTTGACTCTTTTCCAGATCTGACCTTTCTCTTCATAGATGTTCCGGTTTACGCCAGATGTTCTGTTCATTATATCCAGTCTCCCAATTTCTCTCTACTAAAGCAGCAGCATCTCCGGATAATTATCATTGTTGGCTTACTCATAGCCCCCGAAAGATCGAGGGAGAAGAGCTCGTGTCGTCATGATGTTAAGCGAAATCACCCCTGTCCCTGCACCATGGAAGCTCAAGGGCGACGTCTACGTCTTCAGCTTCTGGGTACCCAGAAAGCAGGCAGAGCATCCCCCGACAATCACGTACTCTCCACTCGAAGCGAATTCTTCATTTATTCGCCCAGATGGTAGCCGTCCCCTTGGAGGGATCAGCATGATCCAGATCATCCGTTACACTGAAAGTCCAGTCGGTCCCTATGACGAATTGATCTTGAGCCCGGGATTTCACGAGTACACGGTTGAGAAGAACGGCAAGCGTATCAAAAAGAAGAATGCAAGAATCACAAGGATCTACGTTTCTCAAAAGTACACATGCTGGAATGGGCGAAAAAGTAAGTTTCCTGTGTCGTTTCGCCCACCACTTTGCTTGTTACTTACAAAGACAAAGATTGGAACATTCCTAAACATCTAGCAACCTTCGACTGGAACACAAACCCAGATGGCAGCACTTCTGTGCGAGTCTTTCCTCACGACACATCCGGTGACATCAAAGAGTCGGAGGCAAGCACCACGCCTCTCTTCCAAGCCACGTTCAAGCCTATCCCATATGTGCCGTCGTTCCCCCTCTCTCTTGACATTCTGAAGTACGTTGGTGTGGATGCAACTCTTGTTCAGCCCCCATTGCCCGAGGGAAGTGGAAGCAAGGGGGAACTACCAGGGACCGATCGCTGGTGCAGCATTGCGCCAGGTCAAAGCTCGAAGAAGACGAGTCTAGGTTGGTTCGACATTCGACAAACTGATGAAAAAGGCCGCATTATCGGGGAACATGAAAACTTCTGGCCTGGACTTGGAAGGTGGCAAATTGGTATGAAGATGGAAGACTCAGTTGTCTCCTTTCCCGAACCTAAACATTGGGATGCACCCAAATCGGTCCTGTAATCAATCAAGTATCATGCCACCGAGAGCGAAAGACCGGACTTTTGGGCCAACGCCTGTTTTGTAGCAGTAGACGCCGAGAAGAAGTGCATTGGGTATTCTACACGTATCCATCACATAGGAAGACAGCAACGAGACCCATTTGGGAGCTTTCGGGCTTGACGGAGCACGTCAATCCAGTTGGGATTGTTCCACCCGCACCTCCACATACCCACCAAGGGGACTACAGTTCATCGACATCGGAAAGAACGCGATTGTCTCACGAATTAGGCGTACAGGAAGTTCCACACTAGCATCAAAGTCAAAACTTGACTCGACTGAGCCGGCGGCTTCCGTGAATCCGAAGGTAAGTTTGTCAATAGATATGTCCATCTTTGACATCGACACTTAGTTTTGGGCTATTTCGAACGGCTCACAAAGCAAGATCTGTTCTTGACTTGACATTTGATTGTGACGCGCTTGGTGGTGAAGATTTGATTATCGAGGTGAAGAGGTAGGCGTATAAAGGAAAAGTGCGACGCTCGCTCATCAAGTACATGATCTGTCCGTTACAACTATCTAAAACGCATTCTCTCCTTCATAAACAAGCCGTGACTCACTGCCTTTGTAGCCTCCCCCTTCATCAGACCCTGTACACACGACTCGCCCACCAAAAGCCAGTAGTCTCCCTCCTTACGCACACAGTACGGCACATCACCGCCCGCAAGCACGACAACAGCATCTCCCTGCCGAATGTTCGATGGACCAATGCCCATTCTCCCATCTGCCGTAACCAAGAAGGCCCTATCAAAACCATAGTTGTGAACTAGACTCTTGTAGTAGTCTGCAGCCCCACCGGAAGATAATTGCTGGAGTACGGAAAGAGCATTCGGGTCCCCGCTCTGCTCTACGCAAAGGGATGAAAGTGATACTTCGTTTAGCAGCAGATGATGGATATAGGCCGCGCCGTCCGCGACAGACTGCTCCCAGTCCCGGCCGACAAAGGAATGCTGCTCGACCGTAGTTGCGCTGACAAACTGTCTAGTCCAGGTGGGTATGGGATTCTTTTTGAGTACCTTCAGCGCCTCTGACAAGATGCGTGTCATCTGCTCCGTAAAAGGCTGCTCGGGATCAACCTTGCGAGAAGGATTGACGCCAAACGGCACAGCCACCTCAACCGTGCTCACTTTGATACCCACGAGTGAGAGTACCCGCGGATCATCTTCGTGACGGATCTCAAGTTCAAGCCCAGACGCTGCAGAGAACTGTTCGAGGAAGCCGAGTATGGCTGGCCTGGACTTGTCTCCGGCATGCACCCACGAGAGACTTGTAGCGATACCCTCGTTGGGATTCTCGAAATCGCTCCAATCCGGGCACCACGAGGGTATATCTAGACTCTTCTCCCGCTGTCTTCTGGTGATACTGCCATCGACACAACGTGCCCGGGTCAAGAACGCAAGCGACTGGCCCTGTTCCAGCATGTATCGCCCGACCCTCAGGTATACATCCGTCACTCCAATCTGATAGTCTGGTCTCAGCTCGGGAGGTATAGTAGCCAGATCCTGACACTCGCGAGCAAGACCCATGAGTCCATAGATCTTGTCCCTCTGGTCGGTGGCGTTGAACTTGACCTGCGTGATCGAGACGAGCGCGTCAAGAGGCCACAGCGTCTGCGCCCGCTGGAGGTTAGCCATGGTGTCGATATTGCGCAGCTGCTCGGGCACTTGAGACAGACGCATATAGCCATTTTTGCGCAGCCAAGCCGCTGCCCAGCCAAAGTGACTCCAGGGGAAATACTGCTCCCCGTGGAGGAAGATGGGATCCTGCGGCGACAGGGCGACCTCCTGAACAACCCAAATCCTAGAAAACCACCGCCTCCCCACGAGGCTCTTGAGATGCGACCACCGAAAGTCTTCCCACGGCGGTAGACCGGAGGCTTCGTGTGCAGAGGGACGGTACATGCGGGTGGGTATGTCATTCGGCTCCGTGGCTATGGGATTCTGCTGCCTAAAGACGCGGTATATGCTGTTCAGCAGCTCCCACGCGCCATAGCAGTCGCTCGAGTCGGGACCAAGCCAGATGAGCGTTCTGATGGCGCCGCGGTACAGCTGGCCCATGAGGGAGACTTGGGACGCGCGCTCGTCCAGGTTGGACTGATCGATGCAGATGCTGTCGATCCAGATGTGACGGACGGGGGGGTTGAGCTCGGAGTTGCTTCTTGCCAGTTGTGAGAGTCTGTGAACGCAGGCGGCGAGATCAGCTCCGATTGTGACGACTCGACTGTTTATGAGGACGTCCCGGTAGCTGTGCTGGCCCGTCCAGCTATGACTGAGGGCGTAGTATGGAGGAGCATCGCGCAATTCCCCTACTTCTAAACTGCCCACTTCATCTGAGTTGGGGTATGGATTCAGCCGCAGGAGTCGGACTTGATTGTTATTGAGAGGGCTATATAGGCCCCCATCTTTCGGGCCCTGATGAGTGTTCATATTCGGTTGCCGCTGCGAAGATTTGAAGAAAGACGGCGGATGATGGCTCATTTCCGTAATTTGTATCACATTCCACAGAATAAACCTTGGGATGCAATCCTCGTTCCATTCAGCCTATCGCGCCTATTCCCCGCCTTCTTGGAGAGGAATCTCACGTCATTCGTGGAAGTGGATTAAGTGCACACATAGTCTGACAGGGTTGACATGTGGCGGCATACAGCCACAAATGGCTACTACATAGGGGCTCAGCCTACAACACTCTTTATTACACACGTATTCCTCTACTGATGAGACGGGACTTATGCAAGTCGGATGATTTGAGGACAATTCTTGTGCATCCATGCCTGTATAGCGCCGTTAGGCTGCCCAGGTTCTCCTCAGGATAGCCCCCCGAAAAGAATAGGCAAAACCGAGGAGACAAATGAGGTTGTGAGTCAGGCTCCTTATCTGGCTCCGACCACAGCGATCTCGCAGACTCTCGCGAGGCAAGGTACCATTGCAGCACGCTCGGACGCAGGAAGCGTGGGTGTTCATCTAAGCTTCATGTCGTACATGACGATATGGGCAGGAGTGGGACCCTGCTGCTTGGGACGGCCCGAAGCGAATGCCAACGGTTTGATGGACGCCAAACTATAAACACCCGGTCACTAGAGCCCGACATGAGTCAAGACGACCTCTCTGACCTGGTACATTCGCCGAGGAATGTGCCTCACCTACGTTCGAGGTTACCTGCGACTCTACATGGAGATGGAAGACTCTAGGTATCTGAGCATTCACTGGGCACAATCATCCGATGTGAGTCATCTCGAGTCGAATGATTCTACTGATCAACAAGAGTTACGAGAGAACCCAGACTGAAATTGGGGCGCTTGGGGTTTCATGTGACCATTTTTTTTTTTCTCTCATACTTGGCCCTCACATTGAGTCAGGAAATCCTTCATGGCTATGGCACTGGTAGCAATGGAGGATGTGGTCATGAATCGTGAATTTTACAGGATATCTAATGTGCTGAGCTCTCTACATGAATGACGAAATCTATCAAACTCTAGGCTCTGACTCTCTCCTGTCCAACCTTGGCAGCAAGCTCCAAGCCCTCAGCGACGTCGCTCGGCTGGGACAGGAAGGGGGAGTGGGAGGCCTTAGAAGAGTAGGTAATGGCATTAGGGCCGAGAAGAGTGGCCATACCCTGCTGGACGGCGAGGG